ACATGCATATTGTGTGTGTGCGTTCAGACTATACTACATACCACACATACACATACATACTTTTGTGGTGCGTGTCAGACATACATAACACACATACACACACATTATTTTCATTTTGATTAAACTAACACATTTCGAAATGTTTCAGACCTTTCCTCCCTTCTTCCTCTTCATTTCCTTCTTTCCTTCTTTCATTCCTTCCTCCTTCTTCATTCCTCCCTCCCTCCCTCCTTCCTCCCTCCCTTCCCCTCCTTCTCCTTCCTTTCATTTCCTCCCTTTAGTAAAACCATGTTTTTAAAAACAAATATTAAAAAAAAAAAAACTCACTCCCCCCCATTTCCCCTTATGAAAATAATGTTTAATGAATTTATAAAATCCCATAAGATTGCCAATTTTAGTTTCTTTCATGTCTTCAGTCTTACCAAGATCATTACGTAACAAATTTCATAAAATGTAAGTAAATGGAGATAAATCATAAAACGTAAATCAGCAAGGCATTAAAACAACAAACAAATAAAATAAAATGAAAAAAAAAACAAGACAAATGTCAATCAAATCACATTAGCAACAACAAAAAGAAACAAAAAATATTTACCAAAAAAAAAGCATCATAAAAACAAACAGACAAACCTTCTCTAACACCAAACCAAAAAAAGAAGAAAAAACAAACAAACATCTACCACACAAAAAAAATAAACAAACAAAAAAAACTTACTTACCACAAGAAACAAAACCAAAAAACAAACAAAAAAACACACACTTACCACACACACAAAAATAATAATAAATAAACAATAAAATAAACAAATAAATAAATCAAATAAAAAAAACACACATTTACCACACACAAAAATAAAAATAAAAAACAACAAAAACAACAACAACAACAAAAACACCTCTACCACACACCACACAACACACAAAAAAAAAAAAATAAATAATAAAATGAACAATAAAATAAACAAATCAAATCAAATCAAATCAAGATCCACCTACCTTTAACCTGAAGATGACCCGGGCAATCAACCTGACGAAATCGGGAGGCACTGAAGGTGACACTCGCTTCAGGTGAGGGCACTCGTGGGCGTGGAGATCGGCCGCCAAGAGCTCACACTCGTTGCTGCAGTACCAAGGGACGCGGCAGAGGCGGCAGGGGTGCAGGACCTTGTCTCTGTGGGGGGGGGGTAGGGGTAGGAGAGAAAGGGAGGGGGAGGAAGGGAGGAGGAAGGGAGGGTGGGAGAGGGAAGGAGATAAGGGATGGGAGGGAGGTGGAGAAGGGGGTGGAGAAGGAGAGGGGAGGGGTGGAAGGGGAAGGGAGAGGAAGGGAGGGGTGGGAGAGAAGGAGGAAGGGAGGAGGAGAAAAGGGAGGGGTGGGAGGGAAGGAGAGGAGGGAGGGGGGGAGAGGAAAAGGGGAGGGAGGGGGGTGGAGGGTAGGGGAGGGAGGGGTGGGAGGGAGAGAAAGGGAGGGGGTGGGGAGAAGGGAGGGTGGGAGGGGAGAGGAGAGAAAGGGAGGGATGGAAGGAGGAAGGGAGGGTGGGAGGGGAGGAGGAAAATGGAGGTGGGGAAGGAAAGGGAGGTGGGGGAAGTGTAGAGGAGGGTGGAAGGAAGGAGAGGAGAGTGGAGGTGGGAAGGATAGAAAGGAGGGAGGGAGAGAGAAAAAAAAGGTAGATGGTGTTTTTTTGCGGTTGGACAAATGAGTAGGAATGATAATAATGGCAATGATAATGATGATTGTGATAAAACTGATGATGCAATACTGAAAATAGCAATGATAATGATATCAATAGTTACATAATTAAGAGCAATGACATTAACAACAAACATGAGAAAAACAGAGAGAGATAGAGATAGATAGATAGACGATTAGAAAGATATAGAGAGAAAAAGAGAGAAAGAGAGAGTGAGAGAAAGAGAAGAGAGAGAGAGAAGAGAGAGAGAGAGAGAGGGAGAGAGAGAGAGAGAGAAGAGAGAGAGAGGAGAGAGTGTGTGTGTGTGTGTGAGAGAGAGAGAGAGAGAGAGAGAGAAGAGAGAGAGAGAGAGAAGAGAGAGAAAGAGAGAGAAAAGAGAGAGAGAGATGAGAGAGAAGAGAGAGAGAGAGAGAGAGAGGAGAGAGAGAGAGAAGAGAGAGAGAGAGAGAGAGAGAGAGAGAGAGAGAGATGCAGAGACAGAAACAAAGATTGAGACACAGAGAAAGAGGTAAAAACAAAGACAGACAGAAAGAAAGAGGAAAGAAAGAGACAAAGAGAGAAAGAAAGGAAAAGGAAGAAAGGTAGAGACAAAGACAGAAGAGAAAAAAAAAGGAAAAAAAGTAAAAACAAAAACAGGCAGAAAGAAAAAAGAGAGAAAAGACAGAGAAAAAGACAGACTAAAAAGTAAACAACCTATATAAACATATGAATAAATAAATAAAAAGAAGAAAAAAAACAAGAGAAAACCAATAAAATCAACTATCCCCGTCATCTCATACACAGAAAACGGGAAGCGCTCAGTGCATAGAAAA